CCCCCCCCCCCCCGGCTTTTGTGACCTCACAGGAGGGCTGTAGGTGACTGTTCTCTGCGGGGCTGAGGTCCGCAGAGCCTTCCCCCAGGGCAGGGGCAAACGGCCCCCTTCCAGGAGGGAGCTGGAAGATTAGGCAGCTCCATGTAGGTCCACATGTAGGTGAACAGAACCCACCATGAGGAAGGGCAAAAAGAAGAAGCCAGAGTCCAGACGCCGCGGCTCCACACCCCAGCATGCCAGCTCGGAGTCGTCCACACCCCAGCACGCCAGCTCGGAGTCCACCCCTCGGCCCAGCCCTGGATCCACCCCGCAGCCCAGCTCTGGATCCGTCCCCCAGCAGCCTGCACCCCAGGCTCTCCCAGCTCCAGAAAGCAGACCCTCAGCCCGGGCCCCTGCACCGGCCCTGGGCCGGTTGCCTCCAGACCCTACCACAAAAGCACCCTCTCGATCCAGGAAATCAGGTGGGCACAGGGTCCCCCAGAGGCTGGCTCATTTCGGGTCATGGCGTTGGTTGACACGTATCCTGGACCTGTGCTTGTGGGGTGTGCGGGTTTGGGGGTTTCGCGTTTACCCAAGAGACTAGGATTCCTGGATCTCGCCATTCCCTACCATCCTGAGTCTCAATGAAGAAGGCAGCCACGTGTACATGTCGACATTTGCCTTGGCTCTGCGACCATACTAGCTCAACAGGAGTCAGGAGTGCCGTGCGGCTGCTCAAAAATAAAAACCAAGGATGTGTTAACAGAAATATACAGTTTAGGACGAGGGAGGTGGTCATACTCCGCCCTCGTCGGACTGTCCTTGTGTGCTGTAAAAGATGCTTCACAATCCAGTCCAAAAGAGATAGTGCAGGTTAATGGGGGATGAGAGGGCAGGGAAGCAAGAACCATTTGACGTATGAGGTTTGGTTGAAGGCATCGGAGGAAATCTGTCAAGTGAATGTCGGGAGTACACTTGCTCCGTGTTGCCCTCCGACGTCTGACGAAGCGCCCAGGAGTAGGGTTGCTGAATACAATACAGGACACCCAGTAAAATTTGAGTTTCGGACAGACAAATAATTTTTTAGTGTGTGTCCTAACATGGCATGGGCATTCTGCAGTTTTATTTGCTAAATCTGGCGGCCTTCCCTGTGGAAAACACCGTAGACAGGCAGATTTCTGCTCAACACGAAGAAGACATTTCCGACGATTAGTTCTCTCTGAAAATGGAATGGCTGTCTAGGAAAAGTGGTCCCCCGTCTTCCTGGGTAGCCACGGTCCGAATGAACCTTGGATTGTGTAGAGGGAATTCGAGTGGCGTTCAGGAGACGGGCTGGTTCATACTTTTGCTAATAGTGGTAATAACTAACTAACTCTCGCCACTGGGTATCAACGATGTACCCAGCATTCGGCTCAACTGTCTACATTAACCTTCCCGTTTGACGGTCCTGTAAAGGAGCTACTGTTATCATCGTCTCCCTTTTATAGATGTGGAAACTGAGGCTCAAAGAAATCAAACCACACACTCTCAAGCAAGCAGTAGTAGCAGGGAGAGGGCAGCCTCCATCTACTCTGATTCCACTACCCTTGCTCTTCACTGTGACATTGATTGACCTTCTGGTCCCAAGAGTCCGGTGGTTTCCCCAGGAGGAAGAACACCCTTCTCTGGGATTCTGTTGAATTCACCGTGAGCCAGTGCCGGTGGCTCTATGGTCCTGAGCAGGCCACGCTCTCTGGGCTGCAGCTTATTCCTCTGCGACGGTGTGGCTACAAAAAAAAAAAAAAAAAAAAAAAAAAAAAAAAAAAAAAAAAAAAAATGTGAGATTTAGTGAGAGAGCCAGATCCAACATACCACTGTGACAACAATCCTATTTCCATGGCTAAGAATCAATTCATTTTTAACATGTAGAAATAGTTATCAGTGTGATATATCATGTGTATTGTGATCATCAACCACGGACGTAAACATTTCTGGATTATGGCCTTCAGAACTGGTATCTGTAGAAAGCAAAATTTTCCAGCCCCAAATCTTGTGATGAATGCATGTGGCTCACTCCTGGGGAAAGGATTCTGCTTATTGAGGTGGCCGAGCGGGAAACAGTGATGACCTGTCAGCGGTTACAGTGGACCCCCTACACTTCTTCTGCCAGAGGAATTTTCTCCCTTTGAACCGGAGTGGGAAACAATGTTGGCGATAAGGGACAAAGGCCTTTATTTAAATAAAGGGTGCCAGTTTCTAAAATCCAAATCTCTTTGTATGCAGAAAACATCGTAGTTCAGGAAAGTACAAGTCTTCCACTAAAATGGCTACAATCGAAAGATGGACAGGGGCACCCGGGGGGCTCAGTCAGTTGAGCAACCGACTCTTGATTTCAGGTCAGGTCACGATCTCATGGTCATGAGGTCGAGCCCTGCGTTGGGCTCTGCACTGACAGCATGGAGCCTGCTTGGGATTCTCTCTTTCTCTCTCCCTCCCTCTCTGCCTGTCTCCCCAGCTCATGCTCTCTGTCTCTCAAATCAGTAAACTTAAAAAAAAAAAAAAAAAAGTGAAGTTACCATGTGACCCAGCAATTCCACTCCCAGGTACATACCCAGGAGAATTAAAAACACAACATCCGTACAAAAACTTGTACGTGAATGTTCACAGCAGCTTCAGTAATAATAGTCGAGAAGTGGGGGGAAGAAACTCAATATCAACCACCTGATGAATGGATAAACAACGTGAAGGGTATCCATACAATGAAATACTATCTGACATATTGACACGTGCTCCCACACGGGTAAACCTCAAAGACATTAGGCTAAGTGAGAGAAGCTACTCCCCCAAAAGCCCACATGAGTGATTCCATTTATGAAAGGTACAGAATAGGCAAATTTCTTGCCAGGAACCGGGGGCAGTGGGGAAAGGCAGTGCCTGCTCAATGGTTATGGGGCTTCCTTGGGGGACAGATGAAAATGTTCTGGAATTAGTAATGATGGTTGTACACCTCTGTTGATTGACCGAAACCACTGAAAACTTTTAGGGGTAAATGTCACGTACAGGAATTAAAAGGCTATTAAAAAATTGTTTTAACAGAGGAAAAAGACCAGTGTTGCCTTTGGAGTCCCTTCCTTCCCCATTCCAGAAAAAGTATCTGTCGTGGGCGGGTCTAAGCAGGAAGGGTGCTGAGTCTGCCCGGTGGACCGCTGGCCGAGCTTTGGTCGGAAGAACCTGTAGCTCGGTCAGGAAGCCAGGACTGAAGTCACTGCACGAGGAGGGAGTTATCCGCCCGGAAATCCCCTTGGGTAACAGCACAACATCTCCGAGTTCCGCTGGGATCCTTGGCAGGGGACACATGGGAGACAAGTTTGGGGAGGCGTCTCAAGGACCGTAAATCAGAGCAGCAGCTGGCTTCTGGATAAGTCAGTGAACCCCGGGCAAATGGACCTTGGACCAATGTCAGATGCCCCCTCTCGCCGAGCGGACGGTCCCCTGCTGCCGTCCGTTCCCGTGAAGTCTGTCGAAGGAGCGCCGAATGAGTTAGCACCCCTGAGCCGAAGCCCACTTCTTGAATCTACTTGTTATAAGGGCACAGCCCATATATTCTCTGAGCCTCTGTTTCCCTATTTGCAAACTGAGAATGGCGATATTCCACTCGGCAGGGTTGTCCTGACAGATGAGAGGATAATGACGAGGGGAGGGAGGAAGCATTGCTCCGGTGTGAGCTGTTAACGGCATGATTTTGCAATCCCCAGGGAGCTCCGGTCCCTAAAACAACCAGCTTCCCCTGCTCTCTTTCCTGTGTCTCCCTGGCTCCCGCCGGCCTCCTGGAGGCCGGGGGTCCCTCATCTGTCTCCTTCTCTGTCCATCCAGGGTCTCTGACTCGTGCGGGGCCACGGGCCTTCTGTTCCTGTTCCGCTTGCCCCGGAAGCTCTGCTTGCTGGCGTCGTCTGGGCCTGTGTCACAGCCGCATCTTTGATGTCCTTCTTCCTCTACCCTGGCCGACCATGCCAGGAAGAGGATTTCCAAGCCTCCTCACTTTCTACAGGTTCTGGAGCGCGTGGGGGGCTGGACCCTCAGGGCACAATTCCTGGGGTCAGGCTCTGCCCCGGACCATAGTAGCAGCCATGGGTAACTTCTTCTTGGGAAGCCCAGGCAGAAAAGAAGCCTCTCCCGGGGTGGCCAGTTCCTGGGGTTTGGCACCCTGCCCTTTCTGACCAGACCCACACCCCCAGGGTACCCCACCTGCACGGAGGGGTGCCAATTTTCTTCCTTACTGAAAATGGCTTCTTTGGGAGGCACGTTTTTCTTTTCCCCATGGGCCCACTGCTTCCTCAGAGTCTATGCCCTCACAGCCCTTAGTAAATCCCCTGTCACCCAGAGCTTTGTGATTAAATGCTGTGTTTGGCGATTGGCCGCCTTCTCTGGCCCATACCACAGCTGAGAGCTTCTGGTTCTTGACCCGCATCTGCACTACCCCCCAGACTTTAGTGACAGATGCTGATTGCAACTCACACGTGCCCTTGGTAATAGCAAGATCCCCACTCCTTCGGCGGTTTCCGGCTACTTCCGGCAGCTCCGCAGGAGACATGCCCCCAGGCTGGGCAGCCTCCCGTAGAGTCTTCCACAGTATCTGGCCTTCCTTTCCTCTTCCACGGAGCCATCAGGAGAAAGCCACCCCTCATGGGAAGACCCCTGTGCAGAAAACTGGACTGAACATGTCAGTCCCCCTGCCCAGTGGTGCAGGGCTCTGTGCAAGGGCTGGTTGGAGGGGAGCCCTCATCATCTGCCCCCAGTTCTGGGCCCCAGAGTAGTTGCACCTGTATTCAGGGTCTCACCCGATGTCCATGAAGCGGCTTCGCACTTGGGGATCTCACACCCCTAACCCAGAAGCAGAGCCCACCTCCCCCTCACCCTCATCCTGCTCCTCCTCTTGGCTGGTGTCTCCACCACCAAATCCCCACTCCTGTCCATCCTTGAAAAGCACCATCTCTCAGACATACGAGAAGCAAACGGATACCCAGGTGTGTTGGGAGAACATGCGTAAAGCCAAAAATACAACCTGGTAAGTCCCCGTCGAGGAATGATCTGCCCACCACTCGCCTTTACTGACTTTCCTCCCACACACTTAGTATTCCTATCCATCTGGTGCTAAGCCGAGCCACGGATTCGTATCACTTAAAAACCAACAAGCGGGGAAACCTGTTCTGGATAGAATACTAAGCCCTGTGAGGAACTTTACCCTTAAAAACCGTACCGTCTACGTGGTAAGCTGAGACATGGGCCTTAGGATCTCAGATGCAAGCCGGAAAGTGACGTCTGTCCTAGAGATGTTCTAAGAGCTTCAGGAAAAGAGCGCTCGCTCCTAAATCAGGGTCCAGGGAGACTTTGCAGTGTCATTGGTATCTGAGCTGAGTCAAAAAGGGTCTTGGGATCCTCTGTGGCTTAAGATGAAAAGACAGAGCATCCTAGGTGGCAGAGGGAAAGGTAAAAGACTTAGAATTAGGCAAGTGAGGGGAAGGGGCAGAGATCCAGTCTGGCCGGGGTAAGACGTGTCAGTCTTGATTCCGCTCAAATTTTAGCACCAGGGTCCATCATCTTGACACCTCTTGGTGCAGTGGAATGTGAGACCTTGGCCTGAAACACACAGTCACGTTGAATAAGGTTCTCTACTTCAGTAGGATCGATGTCAACACGGATACTGCATTTTGTCAAAGCCTTCCTCGGGAGCGTGATCATCTGTTTTCCTCACCCGTGTGGTGGGCGTCATATGTTGTTTCCTCGGATTCCTCACCTCCAAAATGGAGTCACATGACACAACCCGCTTCACATGGTGGTTGTCAGGCTTGAGGAAGACGCTGGGTGTGAGATGCTTGGCACGGGGCCTGGCACACCGCGGCCTTCGCTGCCTTCGTACCCTGCTCCCTGGGTGTCCGGGGAGCTGGCACCCCAGGCTAGCCCATCCTCAGACACAGGGACTCTCGCGACAGGGATTTATTGGAAGGGATGGGCGGAATTGTGTCCCCCTGAGAGGAGGCTCGGTCACGGGGAGAAGGCGTTCCTGAAATCCCGAGGCCACCCTACGATTTCTGCTTTCCCTGCATGTAGACGGACACTAGAGTCCCAGCTTCCCCCAACCTGTGGGCTTTCTGTTTCGCTCTACAGAGAACCTGCAAGAAAACACTCCACTCATCGTAATTCACGTGCTCCAAGCTCTCGGGCCTGCCGCTGTGGCTCTGGGAGCCCTGGGGGCTGCCTGTTACATCACTGAATCCTTGTGAACAAACCCCAGGCCCGCGGCCCGGCAGGTACGTGGACCCCCTCTGTGCCCGCTCCCCCTTGCAGAGCTGGTCCTCAAGCCACCGAGCCACCGTCCCTGCAGGACCGGGCTGAGGGAGTGTCTCTCCTTCTCTGAATAAAGGGGGAATTTATGGGTGGACCAAGCCCCCAGCCTCTCGGGGAAAGCTTAAGAACCGAGGGACTCTTCCTGGATTCAAGGTCACCTGGCTTTGCCAAGCAGCCCGACGCTCTTGGACAATGCCAGACCCATACTGGGATTGTCAAACCAAGGTTCGCCAACCCCCACTGGCCTGGGATACCAGACGGGAGGAGATGGGAGACGTGGAGCAGAGGTTCCTAGCCAGGCTCCTAGAGGCAGAGCCTGAGACAGGGGTTTGGGTGCACAGGATTTGTGGAGGAAAAAGGGAGTGAGGGAGGTAAGAGGACAGAGGACGGAGTAGAGCGAGGAGGAGGTCTCAGCGGCGAGTCCAGCTTCAGCTCGACCCCAGGGGAGCTTTGGCGCGTGAATTACACCACAGAGCTGGTGGGGATCTGGGTGGGCACCAGGAGCACCCACAGTTGTCCCCAGTGCCAAGTCCCCATTGCAGTGAATGCCTGCTAATGCTGGTCGGGTGGTAATGGCAGCTTTTCCACCCACCCCCAGACCTCCACCGGCCCCAGAATGGACAGGGAGTGGCCGCAGCAGGGCACGAGGTGGGAACAGATGCTCAAAGTATCTCAAAAGCCTGACCCAGACAGCAAACTCACCACCTGCTCAGGGGCTCTGCTGCCTGATCGAGGGACTGTTGTGGACGCACCTTAAGTTTCATGAAATTCCAGAGCCACCAAGAGGCTCCGTTTCCCCATCAGGGAAGACCGTGGGGCCTTCTTCTCAAGATTATTGGAATATAAGATAAGGTGGCCAGGTGACGGGTCTTGTTACCCCTACCACCATGGGGGTGGTTGGAAACATGCAGGCTTTGGAGTAGGTCCCAGGCCTGACTCTGCTACCTGGTGGCTGGGTCTTAGGGGACGCATCACTTAACTTCTGTGAGAGCCACGCCATGGCTAACGTAGGGGGACTAGTGACGACCTCCAAGGGCGATGGTTTTGAGGATGCACTGAGGGGATGTTCAGACATGCCAGGCGGGTCACAGGGGATGGGTAGATGGTGACCTGCAGTCTGAAGAATGCCCTTGAGCCATTTTGTTCTAGAGGCTCCTTACAACAGGGCCCACGGTGTCAACTTGGGTTCTGTCCCTCGAGGCACGCAAGGTTACCGTCAGATCCCATTCCACACCCAGGATCTCTGGAGCCTGGGACAAGTTCCTTAACTCCTGACACCTCATTTTTCTTTTTGTTAAATGGAGGTAATGATAGTATCCCTCTCACTGGGTTGACATCTGTAATATCACTTACTCTTTTTTTTTTTTAATTAGCTTTCTTTTTAACTTCCATGCATTTATTTTCAAGGGAAATTTAGTTCTGGCCATAAATGGGAAATCCTATCCCTTTCCATAAAAAGACTACACAGTAAATATACATCCAAAATGTCATGGAATTCTAGCCGATAAGGATACCTGAGAAAGCCTCCGCTTTCAAGGCAGTGCCCTGTGTGCTCCAAGGACAGGTGTTGGATGTTAAGACAGGCAGCGCCACACTGAGATGCTGTCTTCCATTTTAACCGGAGTTGAGAGACCCCAGGAATGGCAGGGACCCCAGTTACTTAATGTGGAGCATCAAATATACTGCAGTTCACACAGTGCTGAGCCCTGCGCGGAGGGTGCAGAGAGGGGAGGAAGGAGATGGTTGATGGCAAGGAGGGAAGAGAAGGTGGCCGGGACGGGGAAATGGAGAGGACGGGAGAGGAATGGAAACCCGCCCCGGGTCTGGAGGAGGTCACTCTCCCAGGGCCTGAGAGTGAATCAGTGGCAGAGTCAACAAGACCCCAGAGACTGAAGCCCCGAGTGTGTTGGGGGTGGGGGTTCAAGTGGCTGGTGGGCCCTATGTCGAGGATGTCACTTAGAAACGCACGCAGTGCACGAACTTCACCCAGCTTTCTTCTGCTCCGAGGGGTAACTCCTTATGTCCTCTCAGGGTGGGCCCGGTGCCTGGATGCAGGGCTAGGGTGCAGCTTTCTCGGGGCCAGACGAAACCAGCCCAGGGACAGGTCTCCAACCTGACAAGCTGGTCCGGCCAGCGACCAGGGACCAGGGACATGCTAGTCCTCTCTCTGCACAGAGCTGTCCCTCAACCACTCTGGTTTCCCTTGAGGGAGAGGGAGGCTGTGCCACCCACCCTGAGTGGCCTGAGACAGGGTCCTTCCCAGACTCCACAGCCCTGATGAGGTGGCCTTTCTCCACGTAACCCACTGCTTTTGTCAAATTACTGTTCCAGCACTGGGATGGCATTGGGGTACTTGAAATGCGTTTTAACCGACCTCAGCAGGCCTAGCCTCTTCCAGACCTGCTTCTGTCCGAGCCTGTGCTACAGGGTCATATCCCATCATTGAGTAGACACTGTGAGTCTGAGGGTCTGATTATGGCACCACCAGCAGGGGGCAGGAGAGGCCTTTCTAGAAGCCTAGAGGTTGCAGTGACAGTTCCTGGACACTAGTCAAGCACAGTGTCTCCCACTCTGACTTCCCACTGTCCCCCACAAGAACCCCTGCGAACTCTGTCAACAGGCAAGTGGGGCAGCACGGCTGTGACATGTCAGTACTGACCATGTGCCCAGCACCACACTGGGTACGGTGAGACTTGATGACACCAAGGTCCACCAACAGCCGACGGCTAGGCTTGGGACTTTGAGGTCTGGTAAAGTCAGTGCATCTAGGCTGGCCAAGGCCCCCAAGAGAGGGGAACAGGGGATAATAATTCACAGGGAGACACAAATGCTTACCTGACATCCAAGCTAGAAGGCAGAGTGCAGATGGGGGGAAAGAGTGTTCATTAATTAAATAATGCATTCATTCATTAAATATTCCTGGGGTATGTACCCTGTGCGATAGGAGTAAACCAAGATGAACAAAAGCCCTCCCCTGGTGGAGCCTGCATTCTAGAGGGCACAGACAGACAATTGACAAGTTAACGAATAAACAAGATCTCTTGATTGTGTGGCAAATGTTATGAAGGAAATAGAGACATAAAGTTGATCTGATAAAGAACAGAGAAGGTCAGAATGATCGGGGGGGGGGGGGAGGGGGGTGCTCCTGGGAACAAGCTGGTCTGTAAAGGCTTCTCTGAACTGAGGCACACATGGCAGAAAGAGCCAGACTATGCAAATATGTCTGTGTTCTTGCAGACAGAATAGCAAATTCAATAGCCCTGAGGCACGAAGGAGCCTCACACGTTTTGGGGGCCAGACAAGAGGCCAGTATGACTGAAGCCAAGATGCCACTGGAGGGACCAAGGTCAGGCAGGGCCTCGAAGATTTCTCTTGTGTTCCAGATGGGTTGGAAGCCCCAGAAGCAGGGCAAGAGCAAATTCTTATATAGCACTTCCTGTGTGCAGGCACTGTTCCGGGTGCTTTACATATATTCATTCATTCATTCTCCCCTCAGAGGGAAGTCTCTCAAGCTGCTGATTTAGATTTCAAAATAATTGCAGGTCCTGTCAAGTAGAGAATGGAAAAGGGGGAAGAGGACGAGATGGGAATTGTTTGCACTGCTCTAGGCAGGCAAAGATGGCACTTGGAACAGGGTGATGGCTCTTACGGATATAGAACCAGCAAGTCTTGCTGATAGATTGAATGAAGCGATGAGGGAAAGGAAGCCTCAAGGAGGAGTCCTTGAGGTGCCATTGCCAGAGGCACAAGGCACAGGAGGGGGCAGTAATCAAGAGTTCTGTTCGTTGTTACCGTTAAGATGTTGGACAACCAAAAGGACATGTCACATAGGCAGATGGATATATGGAAGTCAGCGGAAAAGCCCGGTCTTAGCTCTAAGCGTAGGAGTGATTAGAAATAGCTGAGATATACAGCCACAGGCAGTGGCTAAGATGACTCGGGGAGAAGGCATAAATAGAGTAGAGAGCCAAGAACTGAGGCCAGGAAGAGGTCGTTTAGAAGTCTGCTAGTGAAGGAAGGTGCCTATGGAGAAGACACCTACTGTGGGTCTGCTCTGGGTCTAGGCAAGTATGCAGGGTCCCTGTAAGTTCTCAGAGATAAGAAGAACAGATAGGTTCAGGTCAACAAGTGGTGTCCACAGGTAGGGAAAGGCAGCAAGGAGACAAGAATCTCAGTGGAAGGGGCCGAGCAGGGCTGGGACCTCTGATCATAAGGACCCTGCCGCTACCTTTCTGTTTGTCCACGGAGTGTGGACAGACAGACATGTGCTTCCCTTTCCTAAGGGGAAAGCACCCACTACAATAGGTAGGAATGTTTTTAGAAGGTGATATGGGAGCCAAGTGCAGAATGAACGCCCAATGCGGATCTGTTGGCTTGGACAAGTGCTTTAGCCACTGAAAGCGACCCTGAGGTTATATGAAAGTCGGTGTGTGTATGTGTGTGTGTGTGTGTGTGTGTGTGTGTGCGCGTGCATGGGGGGTACACTGAGTCATCCTGGGTTCCATAGGCTCAGCAATTAGACACTGTGGAAGGGAAATAGAGAGTTTGGTGTCCTTCTTAGTCCATAGACTATAGAACCATCTAATGACAGTGACAAAGCCTCCTCTCTGGAAAAAGGCGTTTCCAGAATCCTCCTTCTTAAAGCATGGGAAGCCCCTCTCTCAGCATCCCTCCAAGAATGATGAGACACTACAAGCAAAGGGCTGTTTCCCCTCTCCTTTTGGGCACTGAGCATAGTAAAATTCATTGCCACAATCCAGCTTGGGGGCCGTGAGGCTCTATCGTAGCTGCTGGGAGCCCTGGGAGAAGGGACAGGAAAAGAAGGCGCCAATGTTGACTGAGCCAAGTACCTTCCAAGAACTTTGCATAAGTGCGTTATAGCCTAAAGGGAACACCAGGCTCTAAGTGGCTGTGTTTAGATGAAAC